GATTCCTTTTGGTAAGTAAGTAGACCACAGCAGATTTCCATCACCCCTGTACAGCAAGTAGGACTAGTATTTGAGGACTTTCTGCTGAAGTGACAAAAAGGTAAAGTTAGTAACTGAGCATTTTTAAAATGTGTTAAGGTAGGCCAACTCTACATTAATAATAGCAGAACTGATTTATAAAATCATAGAGTTGTAAAACTATAAATCATAATATCAAGTAAGATTTTAAGAGTTGCAGCAGTATGAAGCGTAAAAAGAAAGTAAAAGTTAAAAAAAAGAGTTTCAGACCTGTTTCAGGAAGTCAGAGCAAGTTAAAGGCTAAAGTCAACAGATTTCAACTTTCTTTTAAAAATATTTAGCCAGCTGGCGCCCCTGATATCTAGGTAGTGTGTTTCATATCTCAGGGGCAGAAATGACAAAGGCTGCATCCCCAATCTTCTTCCAGCTGTTCCTGGAAATTTCCAATAAACCAGCAGCAATGACCGCAGTGTTCTTTGAGGCAAATAGTTTAAAAGGGAGTTAGCAATGTAGCTGGGTCAAAGCCTATTTTTAGGGCTTTGTATAGATATATATACCTTTAAATCTGTTCTAAATGTAACAGGAAGTCAGTGCAGAGCAGTTCAGACTGGCCTGACGTGTTCTCTCCTCTTGGTGCTGGTTAGTAGCAGAGCTGCAGAGTTTTAAAAGAGGTGAAGTCTCTCAGTGGTGTTTTTTGGGAGGCCAGTATAAAGTGTATTACAGTAGTCAAGTCGGCTTGCAATAAAGGCATAAATCAATTTCTCAGCATCTTTTTCATTTAGAAATGGTTGTACCTTAGCTGTGTTTCTGAGGTGAAAAATGATGCTTTTGTCACCTTGTTAATGTGGGACTTGAAGCTTAGATCTGAATCAAGGCTCACACCAAGACTTGTCACCACAGATTTAATCCAGGGAGTTCAATTCCCCAGATTATTAAGCAACAATTCTCTTTCTCTCTAAATCTGTGTGAATGACATTCAAATTCTCTGCTTTATTTTGACCAAGTTGTTCCAGATACATTTTTTTTCGTACACTTATTTACAAAAAATAACGTACTATACAGACCAAAGCAGCAAAAACACAACTGTCATCCGCTGTCCAACTGTTACTCAAATAATGATGTCTCAAACTGCGATAATGTTTTAAAGCAGCACATTATTTAAGATACATAAAAACCATTTATCTCTGGTTTGCTCAGACAGAGCTCGGTGTGAATTATGTATCACAAAGACAAATAATGACATCACATATTGTCAGTGAAAAAAATAAATATTCCACTACAACTTGTGCAGACATTTGCTGTGTTAATATTGTCATTTTTTCTGAAAGGTCACAGGGCTCAACAGTGGATCTTACTGAAGTATAGCCTCAGGGAGAGCAGGGTTGGTTGTCACGTTCATTAGATTTACTCCCTAAAGGGTGCTGTTAAAAATGTTGGCACCTAATTTTTTTTTTTCCCAGAGATCACCGTCAAGGTCATGTCAGGCGTAAGACACTTGGCATTGAGGTGAGAGGACTTGCGTGTTTTTCATGTCAAAATCTAAATATCCAGTATGTATTATTCTTTGTTTGTTCTTTCTAATGTTAAATAAGGATTAAAGATTCACTTATAGTAATGTTTTTTCGTGTGTATATTCTCTCAGAGCATGAGCTGGTTAGGCTGTTGCACTTCAATGAAACATTTTAACGAAATTAAATTTTTTAAAATAATTTTGAAGGATTGCTTCCATTTTTTTTTTCCATTCTTCCCTATTCAAAGAATGACCATCTCAACTGTGTGTGTGACAACCGGAAGTCATCCATGAATAAGACATAGGCTGAATCAATATATTCTGTACAGAATAGGCTTAAGAAAAGTAGTCATTTCATTCCTACCTGACACACATTATTATACATGACATGGGAATCTATTAAGGATGACCAACCCCCCTCCAATACAGGATTTCCCATCCATCTTCTAACTGCTTCATCCCCTTGGGCTATCCCAGCTGACATTGGACATTGAACCCTGGACAAGTCGCCAGACTATGGCAGGGCTGACACATAGAGACAAATAACCATTCACACTCACATTCACAATTATCAATTAACCTAGTCCCCAATCTGCATGTCTTTGGACTGTGGGAGGAAGCCGGAGTGCCCGGAGAGAACCCACGCTGACACGGGGAGAACATGCTAACTCCGCACAGAAGGGCTCCCACCCGGGATCGAACCGGGAACCCTCTTGCTGTGAGGCGACAGTGCTAACCACCACACCACCATGCCGCCCTACAGAATTTCCCTGAAAACAAAAACAAAGTATAGCCTCATCTCTTTAAGTCATCACCTATGATTCACTGTAAGTGTGGGAACCTGTCATGTCCTTATTTTCTCCTTGTTTGGGTCGGGACGCAGACAGAGCGCAGAATAAACTCAAATACAGCGACAAAGCTCGTTTCAAAGCGGGAGTGCATCTGCGGTTTGCTTTCACTTTTGCTGGCGACATTTAGAAATAGCTCATCATACTCGAATGAAAAGACCAAACGCCTACCTGTGACTTATGTGTATTAAAAATGAAATGTTTTTTCTCCTCTGTAGATACGGGAACAAACACTGGGAGGTTCATAAACCAGGGACTGTTGATCCAGCTGCTGCAAAACACACCCACAACGGTTAAATCTCAGTCATGACTAAGGGGTATGCTCGATCTGTTTGAAAGGGGTACCGCCGGGTGGGTGGGAGCTATGACGTCTTCAAATTTCCACAGTTTGCATATTGGACCACAGCTAACTCACAAACTACAAAATCCTGCTCATATGTGCACAAAAGTGCATTGATCCCCTCAGTGTAGTGCCTACCAGGGCTGGGCAATTAATCAAACTTCATTTTCACTCATAATTTTGGCTTCCAACGATAGATAGATAGATAGATAGATAGATAGATAGATAGATAGATAGATAGATAATTTGTGCTTACATGCATGAGTCATGAATGAAATTTAAGGTCCAAACTTCCAGTTTAATTTTTTTAAATGAAAAAACTTCCAAAACTAAGCACTGGACAGAAAGACAGAAAAACAGTTCTTTGTCTTGACAGCAGGCCTGCACACAGAAATGACTGGGACCCCCTAATAATCTGCTTCAATCATATCAAAAAGGCCCCCAGGAACACTGCTCAGCCTTGCTTCCAATTTTTCCAAGTGGCTGCTTGTGGTATTGCAGCAGAAAAATCCCCAAAAAGTTGCCTAAAAACCACAAACCACCACTGAAAAGGAGAAATTTCCAAAACTCATGACAGGACAACTTGAACTACAAACAATAGCTATGACTCTCTCTATTATGAATTCTTGAGCCATGGAGGTTTTGTATTTGTAAAATTGTTCATGGATTTATTTATTTTTAAATATGTGAAACCATCTAAACATAGAGTCTATGAGCCAAGCGGGATCTCACAGGCACGGGCAGCATAAGAAACACTACTGTGCGTATTCAGTGAGCGCATAACCCAGATGAAGACCCGGAAGAGCTCCAAACTCAGGTCATGAGGTTGGCCATCTGCAGTTTTTCCTTAACTGCAACGTTTCCATCCAAAAAAATGCTCATACCATTTGAATAAGGGGTTGTGTTTAATTATTAAACAGGCTACATTTTACTATAGCAACAATAAATGCAATGTTTATTTTTGTTGTATTTAACATGTAATGGTTAATATTTTGGTTCAAAACAAATTAAATTTGGTTATTATTGCTTGTATTTAGGATTCTGCCTCCATGACCCCCCAAAGCATTTCCCTTTTCCCTGCTTATCTGCTTGACAGTGCAAATATACTACGGCATGGAATACTGTGAACGCAGATAGTGCAAAGTGTAACATGCAATGTAAAAGTCGAAGGATGCAGTAAATCTGCTTCTGTGTCGTCTTCAATCCTGAAGAGAAGCCTCAGAGTCCCAGGGCGTCTTTCTGCACATTGAAACCCAGCAAAGCATTTCCAGCTTCCACACACTCTGTCGCATAGGGAGCTGAAACAACAACAAAACATGCAATCAGAAGAGTGAACCAGCACACACTGTTAAAAACAACACTTATTATTCTGGTTATTACCATTCTGAGCACGGAGCCATGATGCAGCCTTCATGGCCAGAAGCTCCCACTCATCCTGAGCCTCAATCTTGGAGCCATGAAGCCAGATCAGAGCCAGAAAGGTGGCCCACACTTCCTGGTTCACCTAATTCACCAAATCAAACAAAAATCAGATGTTGAGGAGATGAGAAAATCTAAGAAAACAAAGGAGAAACAGAATTTCACAGGACAATATGACTGCGGAGTTTCAAACTGTTACTAAAACAGTAAAATATTCACACACAAGTACTTTCAGATTCATTTCAATTGTTTGCAACTTAGCTTGCCTTTTAATTATTATACATATTGTACAGTCTTTGTTTTGTCCCCTTTTCAAGTTGTATTAATTTTTCTTTTCTTTAATATGTTTGGTATGGAGTGCTTCATTATATTTTCTATTAAAAAAAAAATAGAAACCATGCTATGAAATCTGCTTTAAAACAGGTCTCATTATTAAGTTATTATTTTTCACAGTGACTCACTCCTGAAGGTTTTGCACTCTCCACCTCCTCGCTGGTCTTTCCCAGTGCAGCAGCCAGAGCTGGAACCAGCTCCCAGCAGCCAGACGCCTTCTGGAGGGAGACCAGTTGCAGCAAAGGGTCTCTGTGAGGCTGCTTGGGCTTGATGACAGTAGGCTCTTCAACACAATACTGTTCGGATTCCATGATGCCATCAAACCCTGGCACCCAGAGAGAATTTATGACATTTACTTCAATTTTAAAAGACAAAGAAAAAGAAGTTCAAATAAGATGGAAAAATGTGAGAGCACCACAAACTAAAAAAAAAAAAAAAAAAAAAAAAAAGGTGTGGTGTTCCAGTGAAACAAAACAGATACCTTCATCGCATCTCATAGCCATATCATCTTGAGCATCTTCAAACTCCAAATCGTCATACACTGTTGTTTCAGGAGAAATGCACTGTTACAACAGCAAAATTCTAAATATTTTACGATTCTAAAAAAATTAATCAGTGTTTTCATTTTACAATAAATTGTGCGGTGCATGAACATTTTTATGACCCTGACGAGATTCAACAGTGTCACACCCTCAGTCTCAGCAGTAATACAGAGTTACAACTCACCAATTTACTGTACAGCACTCCAAATATTAATTACACCTAATGGAGCTCAGGACACAACCTGAACACACCTGCTGAACCCCAAATTATTTCACAAATAAGTGTGAAATCTGTATGAAAAGCTTACATATAGAAAACAGTTTCATTTTTGTGTAACTAATGTTTGCGTTCTCAGGAATGAGATCATTCAATTAAATGTATAAAGCGCTGCACCTTGTAAAAGACAAACAAACAAACAAAAGAACAAAGATGATAATAAGTAATCCCATACATATTACAGTAGTGCTGACTGAGCAAATGGCTGAACATGAAGTAACAAGTGTCCTTGTAGTTGTGTTCAAAAAGCAAATGAAGCTTGTACTTACTAATGCCTGCACCGGTAGCCATAGGCATCATACCAAACGAGGCGTACACTGTAGTAAAAAGAGAGCAGGATATTAAATAGAGGAAATTTGCTGGGGCTGATAATTAACTGGTAACTGATAATAATTGTGCACAATTACTGCATATAAAGCCTCATGTTTTTCACAAATCCAATACAGATCCCTGTATCAGCACAAATTAATTTTTGTCACCAGAATAATTATTTGGATCAGGGGTGTCAAACATACCAGCCCATCACAGGGAAGTTTAAGTAACGATGAATACTTTCTGTTGTCAGATTTTAATACATTAAACATTGTGCAAAATATTGTCAACCAGCAGCTTCAGTACAAAACAATCTGTATCAGACTTCTATCTTAAAACAGTATGGGTAGAACCCTGCTGCTGAGGCACTGACAAAACTTAAAATTGCAAATGGTTTATTAGGCAGCGGACAACTTAACCTGCTTCTTTAATAGCTTCCACTTTAGTGGAAAATGATGAAAAAGTCACATGTAATGAAAGTGAAAAATAGACTGACAAAATGTGGAAAAACTGAGATATACTGTTGAATTTGCACATATTGTTCTGAGTATCATTTGTTTTGTAAATGGATGAACGTTTTCACAAAGTACTTATTTACACTAAAAAGAGGAAAAATTTGAAGGGGTTGTTATTCATAGGTTATTATGCAGTGGTTCAACTGGTCCCACCCACCTGAGATCAAATTGGGCAATATGTGGCCCCTGAACTAAATTGAGTTTTACACCCCTGATTTAGACTATGCAGCCGTAATAAATGCCATTTGATTTGAAAGGACTAAAGCCCGGTATACACAGTGTGATTTTGTGCTGTCCAAGACGAAAGATGACAAACGGCAAAGAAATGTGGAAATATCATTGATCATGGCTCTAAAACTGTGGTCCTCCGTTGCACAGTGAGAGAGGTTCAAGGATGGCTGCTTTCACAGCCTTGCGATTGAAGACAGCCTGGGGTAAAATTCTGACAGTGTCAGAAATTAAGGACAACTATCTGACTGTGTGACTGCTGTTACAACCTATGTCTTCTACCCAACTACTAAAAATTTTAGCATGAAATGACACGCTGGTTCAAAATCCAAACAAACAGACGGAAAGCCACTCACCATGCAGGCAAAACATGCTAAAACAAATGTGTGAGATTCCAGCAAAGAGGAAAACCTGCAGAAGCCTTGCCTGTATGATGCGTCCTCCAGCTCTGACCATGATTGTGTAAAGAAGGACGAGCATGGAAGGAAATAACGGCAGAGTTGCAGCTGCCAGGTGAGCAACCTAGCAGCTAGCAAACACACACACACAGACACACAGCAGTATATAGTGCCCACAAAACTTTAGGTTATTTAATAATGTGACCCTCTATGTTGTGCTTCATAGTTGGAGAAGTTATAACCCGTGCAGCGTCCTTGTTCACTCAGTATGAGAAGCTGTCGCATCGTATGTTGGAGCCTGTGATTCAGTAGGTGCTGTCATTGTACAGATCCATGTCACACAGTGTAGAGCTGCACTAAACTTATAAGATTGCTAAAACCTCACAGTCTGTAGGAGGCCTAATACCTGAAATCAAGGCAGTTTGTCAGTAATCAGACCATGCAGTACTTTTGAGAACTTTGTGTTGTTTGTATGACATTTACGACCACACCAACAGAGTCACAGCAACACATGAAAGTCACACATGGTGATTCATCATAGATTCAAATTTTATCTGACTAAATGAAGGAGAAGACACCATGTGCTAAAAAACATTTTGTTTTTTGTTTTTTGGCCAATCTAGAAATGTCTGTTGGACGTAAGTTTGACTGTTCTGAGCTGCAAAAAAAGCCATGGTCTTAACCATGCAACATGCACACTGTGCTTGAAGTGCCCTGCTACTTAATTGGTTCTTGGAAAAAACACACTCACTGGGTGTTGGAACATATCGTCGCACGAGAGGTCCTTGAATTGCTTCGCCATCGCCTTTATTGACAGCAATGAAGGCAGTGAAGACACTGCTTACTCCTGACTGGACACTGAGCTCCACCACCCTCTTCCTCACTCCCTCATCTTGTTCTTCGATGTCGTCTTTCTCCTTCATCTCCAGGGAGCGAATCAGAGTCCTAGCAGCCAACCTGTGGACTGTTAATCTGCAGGCAGGAGAGAGGAGTAAACACGTTTGCATTCTAGCAAACTGCCAAATGCAGGTCAAGCACATTGAAATTGCACTACCCTTTGTAACCACTTCAATTCACATATACGACCAAAATCAAGTCTGTATTGTAAAGTCAGTATCTAATTCAAAGTGCTTCTGCTGTCTGACCAAACCCTGTTTTACCCAGTGTCCTCTGCAGGCGTGAGATTGAAGTGGAGCTGGTTCTGAGAGGGATGACCTGCCAGGCTGTACTTCACCGTCACACAGCCCTCTGCTGCCTCTGAACTCTG